GCGACGAAACCAAGCTTTAGCAACGGGCGTAGTCGAACGGTACACACTCGGTAAGTAATCCTACAATTTTTTGTTTATAACGTAGTTTATACGGATTATTTTCAAAAAAATATACGTATTTTGGAAATGTTGAGTCGAATTAGTCTAGAATCGATTAATTTTATGAAAAAAAAAACCTTTCAAACAGCCGTAGTCCGTAAACTATGATTCCTACAAAATTGATTCATAAAGAACGGAATGTATTTACCGTCTTATAGGGGGATCTACTGTACTGTATATTAGTATTATTAGAATATATTACTGTATTATTATATCTGAAGTACAGAGTTTCCGTTGGAATTCGGCTTGCTCCCTTGTTTATTATTACATCATCTCAGTGCAGGGTATTTACATTTATTCAAGTGTTGTGCAAATCATGGCTTCTAAAAAACAGAAAGGTGATTTCAATTGAAACATAGCAAGAAATCATCAGAAAGAGTGAAAGTTGACAAAAACTTCCTTGTCAAATGGGGAGAGGTTTAGGAGTTTACCAACACTCATTATCCGGTGCTGAGGCCAACAGGATCAATGACCTCTACAATGACACCCTTGCCCGTCATTTCCGACAGGTGTTGAAGAAGAGAGAGAAACAGAACACCTTGGACATGTTTTTCAAGAATCAAGCTGCCAAAAAACAAAGAATGGAACAAGAGGAGATGACCCTGCAAGCTCCGCTAGCCTCTCCTGAATCTGACTCTGATTAAAAAACAATAAAAAGAGACTTGCTGCAACGTGTAAAAAGTCTGTATCTGCATCAATGTATAAAGAAAGTGTTCCTCACATCTGACTACCCAGCATAATTGGTGACTACTCCATTTTCATTTATTTTATGGTACAGTACGGTTATTTTATGTTGCACAACGAATTATATGTTTTAACATGTATTTCTATGGGAAAATGCATTTCGTATAACGGACTTTTCACTTAACAGACGTGCACCTGGAACGGATTAAGTACCTTATACGAGGCACCACTGTAGTCATATGCTTCTCTAAAACCTCCCCACACGTAAGTCTGTTCACAGATATTACACTTTTTTTCCTTTTTCCTCCCTGTGGAGACTAAGAGGGCCTCTTAAAGCAGGCCCATTACGGGTTCGGCCAGGCCCACAATGTGGAGCCGGGTGGTGAGGAACGGGGCCGACATATTCGAATGGACCACCCACAAAAAATTCTGGGGATTTTTCGACCCGTTCGGATTCGATCCCGGGTCCCTAGAGCGGTAGGCTGCCACCTTGACCGCTCGGCCATCCGGCCTACAGATATTACATTCATAAACTTTGGAGACATTAATATAAATAATTTTAATGGCCGTTAAATAAAAAATGTTTCTTTCACAAGAAATGTATTAAATTACTGTACTGTACTAGACTTACGGTACCTAATTTACATACTGTACAGAAGATAGCTCGCCTAAACTCTCCGTAGCATGGCGCTAGATGGCAGAAAGTATATATATAATTATAATAAAAGTTACAATAAATTAAGTTAATATATAATTACATATACAGTACTTAATTTATATATAATTACATGTAAACACGATACTAAACTCAATTTATTTGCCTAAACTGTCCGTAGCGTGGCGTAGGATGGCGGAAACTAGTTCAGCTGCCCAATGACGTTTTACGTAATTATAGGAGTTTTTTTACCGTTGTTTACGGATACCGGCACAATTTTTTCGCCGTCTTATAAGAATCGTAATTATAGGAACCTGTCTGATAGGAGGATCTACTGTACATAATTTCATATTTAAAAATACAATGTCTGGCTAATGTATTTGTATTAATATAGCTTTCTTTAAATGTCACAAACACACTTTTTTCTATCGCTGACAATAATTTTATGTTGTCCCAAAGAACGTATTGTCTTAAAAATATTTGTTTCACATATGACAAGAATATTAGTAATCATTGCTGTGTATACTAATATGTCATACTAAACTAGCACTGCTTTTAAAACTTTTATTACGTATGGTCAAATTGATTATTAACTATTTCATGACATGACAAATAGTGGTTTATTTTAAAATATTTGTTACATATATCACAAGTTGGTTGAATTTCTCGTTATAAACGATTTTATGACCTATCACACATTTTTTTCTTCTGTTTTAAACCTTTTGTTACATACCTGAGAAGAATTGTTACGTTCATCACTATGAGTTTCATAATGGCGTTTTAGCTGCCCTTTCCATTTGAAACCCTTATTACAAATATCGCAGTTGAAAGGACGTTCTTCACTATGTTTTTTCTGATGGATTGTTAGATCATGTTTCCGTTTAAAACCCTTATTACATATATCGCAGTTAAAAGGACGTTCTTCACTATGAATATATTGATGGCTTTTTAGTTCCTGTTTCCATTTGAAACCCTTATTACAAATATCGCATTTGAAAGTACGTTCTTCACTATGAGTTAAGTGATGGCTTTTTAGTTGCCCTTTCCATTTGAAACCCTTATTACAAATATCGCATTTGAAAGGACGCTCTTCACTATGAATATTTTGATGCATTTTTAGATATTCTTTGCACTTAAAACCCTTATTACAAATAGTGCATTTGAAGGGACGTTCTTCACTATGAATATTTTGATGAGTTTTTAGATGTCCTTTCTGTGTGAAACCCTTATTACAAATTTCGCATGTAAAAGGACATTCTTCACTATGAATATTTTGATGCCTTTTCAGTGAATCTTTCTGATTAAAACCTTTATTACAAATATTGCATTTAAAAGGACGTTCTCCGCTATGATCATTTTTATGTATTTTTAGTTTCTCTTTCCGTTTAAAACCTTTTTTACAAATATCGCATTTGAAAGGACGTTCTTCACTATGAGTTTCTTGATGTCTTTTCAGTAGCATTTTCAGTTTAAAACTCATATTACAAATATCGCATTTGAAAGGACGTTCTTTACTATGAAGTTTTTTATGCATTTTTAGTTCCCCTTTCTGTTTAAAATTTTTATTACAAATATTGCAATTGAAAGGACGTTCTTCACTATGAGTTTCATGATGCCTTTTTAGTTGATCTTTCCGTTGAAATCCCTTATTACAAATATCGCATTTGAAAGGACGTTCTGCATTATGAGTTTTATGATGCCTTTTTACTTGATCTTTGCGTTTAAATCCTTTATTACAAATATCGCATTTAAAAAAACGTTTTTCACTATGAGTTTCATGATGCCTGTTCAGTTCCCCTTTATGTTTAAAACTTTTATTGCAAATATCGCATTTAAAAGCACGTTCTTCACTATGAGTTTTTTCATGACTTTTTAGCAGCACTTTCGATTTAAAAACTTTATTACAAATATCACATTTGAAAGCACGTTCTACAATATGATCATTTTTATGTATTTTTAGTTGCTCTTTCCGTTTAAAACCTTTATTACAACTATCGCATTTGAAAGGACGTTCTTCACAGTGAGTTTCTTGATGTCTTTTTAATGCGCCTTTACATTTGAAACCCATATTACAAATATTGCATTTGAAAGGACGGTCGTCACTATGAGTTTTTTTATGCCTTTTTAGATTCTCTTCCTGTTTAAAACACTTATAACAAATGTCACATTTAAAAAAACGTCCTTCACTATGAGTTCCTTGATGTCTTGTTAGTTCCTGTTTCCTTACAAAACCCTTATTACAACTATCGCATTTAAAAGGACGTTCTTCACTATGATAAATTTGGTGGATTTTTAGTTGCACTTCCTGTTTAAATCCCTTACAACAAATGTCGCATTTGAAAGGACGTTCTTTACTATGAGTTTCTTGATGCCTTTTTAGTTCCCCTTTTCTTTTAAAACCCTTATTGCAACTATCGCATTTAAATAGACGTTCTTTACTATGAAAACTTTGATGGGTTTTCAGTTGCACTTTCTGTTTAAAACCCTTATAACAAATATCACATTTGAAAGGACGTTCTTCACTATGAGTTTGTTTATGCCTTTTTAGTTCTCCTTTCGTTTTAAAAACCTTATTACAAATTTCGCAACTGAAAGGACGTTCTTCACTATGAGTTTTTTTATGGTTTTTTACCCCCCCTTTCCATTTGAAACCCCTATTACAAATATCGCATTTGAAAGGACGTTCTTCACTATGAGTTTTTTTATGGCTTCTTAGTTGCTGTTTCTTTTTAAAACCCTTATTACAAATNTTTTTTTATGGTTTTTTACCCCCCCTTTCCATTTGAAACCCCTATTACAAATATCGCATTTGAAAGGACGTTCTTCACTATGAGTTTTTTTATGGCTTCTTAGTTGCTGTTTCTTTTTAAAACCCTTATTACAAATTTCGCATTTTAAAGAATGTTCTTCATTATGTCGTGCTCGATGACGTAACCATATGCATTTCCACTTAAATTCCTTTCCACATATTTTGCAGGCATGAACTTTGTGTACTCTCTTCTGTATCTCTAAACAGCTTTTACCATATTGTACACGCTTACCACAAATGTCGTTTTTCCTCTGAATATTGGATTTTTTACCATTTCTTAGAGATGACCTCACTCGATTTCCAGATGGCTGCAAACATAAATTCATATCAGAGATTTTGTTTTTATTTTCAGTTTGGTGTTCTTTCATGTGTCTTCGCAAAATAAATTGCCACAAAAACTTCTCATTGCAGGTTGTGCAGCGAAATGGTTTTATTCCGATATGACAGAACAGATGTGTTTCTAATATTCTCTTATTTGTAAATGTCTGTTTACATAATTCACACATAAATTCTTTTTTAGAATGAAATGCGATCATCAGCTTGAAATATTTCCTTTTAATCTTATCATAAATTTTATTCCATTTTCTACTCGAAGAAACGTATCTGTTTATTCTGATATTATATTTAAAATGTTTTTCTTTTTCTGAATTCTGTTGAATATCGAATTCCTGAATGTGCTCTTCTTCCCGAACTGAAAGTTTAAAAAATAAAACATAATGAAGTACCTATTACATTTCAATAAACAACATAGTTTCAGTGTTAAAATAGTGCTGTAGCATTACAATTGGTAAAGTATACCTATGTTTTTCATATAAAAGCAAAGCATCATTTGTTGTCTGCACTAAAAAATAAAATATTTTACATTTACAATCATAAACTGAATGATTCACTTTTAGTTTCTTTAGCAGACTTTTAGATGAGTGTGGGAAGTTGTTTCACTTTATCTGTTTTTGTTTATATTATTTGTGTAGTTTGTTCCAGTGGTTATCATAGAAACGTGAAAGAAATTGTATGCTTTTATTGAGGAAAGAAATCATTAATGTAAATGAAAAAGTACTGCAGCAAAAGTCTATGGATTATATTAATAAATAAAAAGGCAAAATTACAGGATTTTTGTAATTTTTTTAAATTCAAAATACCATAATTTGAGTGTATGTCCAGGTGATCTCAACAACGTTTCAAAGAATATTAGCAACATCTTTTTTAACACGTTGCTAATATATACTTATTTTTGTCATTAAATAAGTTGTATAGCCTTCGATTACTTCGTTTCAATACATTTTTCTTTTTTTTTTGTTGAATTTTCTAATGGTAGCTGTATTACGTATTATATAGGTAAACGTCTCTTCAATCCGAACAAAATTTTGGTAGACTTTCTCACAGCTCTACAGGTTAAAAATCTCCTTTATTGTTTTTCACAGATGCATTTCGGGCAAGTTTAATTTTCCTGCCCCTCTTCAGTGCTACAAAACAAATTCATATTGAATTTACACAAAACAACTTTTGAGTAGAAAATGCTTACAAGACATAAAAAGACATTTTATAATACCTTAAGATTTCCCACATGTTTCTTCATCTCTTTTACAGTACTTGTACTATCAATTTACAATGTTTTCAAATTTATAATTCCCAATTTTCTCTTAAGGGCGTTTCACATCGAAATCCATACCATTATGCTACACAACTAATTACAAATTATAACTATTAGTAACATTTTAAATCACTTATTTATAACAAATTTTTTCCTTTAAAACAGATATTTACTAAAAAAAATACATACATGTTTTTCTTTAAAAGTGTCACAACAATAACAGAGTAGTATACGTTGTATAAACTTTAAAAAGGTTCAACATACAATAAAATTTTCTTTTACACGACAATGTATAATCTTAGAAATATAAACTATTGACTTGTTGCGCCTTCTATCATGTTATACCATTGCTGGTCGATTTGCATGCCATTGGAAATGTTTATTAAATTATTACCATTGTATTTCATTATTTCTATATGTTCTTTGAATTTACGTTTATATATATTTTTCTCACAGTGTAGGATTTTAATATTATTTCTATCTATTTTGCAGTTACTGTTTTTGATGTGGTTATACCAAGGTGAATTATCATGTTTTAACTTTATGGCAGCTTCATGTTCTTTTATCCGTAATTCCAAAGTTCGACCCGTTTCACCTATGTATTCTTTAGGATTTTGACAGTTGCAATTAATTTTGTAAACAGTTCCAGTTTTTTTCAATTTATCAGTATTGGTTTTGTATTTTCCTAATACAAATGCATCTGTGAAAAACAATAAAGGAGATTTTTAACCTGTAGAGCTGTGAGAAAATCTACCGAAATTTTGTTCGGATTAAAGAGACATTTACCTATTCAATACATTTTCTTTATTATTTTAGTGGATCCATGAACAAAGCAAGATGACATGAATCATTAAATAAAAACTGATGAGTTGTTATTTAATGATTTTGATTATTCCAAGAAATTTTTATTAATTTCAAAAGTTATATTATTACGTTGTAGGAGGTTATGTATAATTCTGAAATATCTGATCCCAGTTAAATGTTTGACAATTGAATCTTCAATGTAGTTCTTCAGCTGCCCTCTGAATAATACTAACATAAAATTGTCTGAACTAAGTAACATGTTACTTACTTTGGATGTTCATTTCATCCCTGTTAAAGTTTTCGTCCAGAGGGCAGAATTCATTGTTGACAGGCTAAACAATATGCAAACAATACATGACAATCAGGAATAATCATTTATAATGTATAAACAAGTAACGAGTTGCTCAACTTTCCCGGCAACGTTTTAAAATTTTGGTGGCGATGTCTGTAATGAAACGTTTTTTAAATAATATATGATCTTCTGAACTATTATAGAAAGGAAACTAATTGAATTTTGAATGTAGGGAAGAGTTTAATATTAAAAAGTTAAATACGAATAATAAGTGAAATCATAATTAAGTCTGTTCCTACTAAAGATACACATGACCCCCTATTACCTCCCCACCCTCTTAATTTTTACCAGCAAAATTTAATAGCCTCAATTTCCCTAGAAACAAAACTTTCCAGCAAAATTTCAGAAGTTTTCGAGAAAAAGAGCAGGAGTTATTAAGTTTCAAACAGGATGAAGGAAATCATGCACCCTCATAGATTAACATCAATACATAAAGATAAAACCCACGATTTTTTTGCATTTTCGACGTTTGAAGGTGTTGTAAGTTTAGAAATGTAAAAATCTTGGCAAGTCATTTTTTGACCGATCGCCATGCTTTTCCCCTTATATATAATAGTAGGAAAAGTAATATGAAAGTCATTACAAACTTATACATTACAAATCAGTATTCTGTAATATTAAATATAAGCTATATATTAGAAAATTGCATTAAAGTTAATTATGTTTTGAAAATTTTGTAGAAAGTATTTATTCTTTTGGGAAAATTAACAAAATAACAAGCGAGACTCTTCACTTTTTATATTTTCCATTGATAAAGATATTACTAATGAAGTAGACTGATTTTGCTACAGATCTATGTTATTTATAAAGTAATTTAGCCCAGTGAAAGTCACGACAGTATTTTTGTAAGGAAAGATTTTTACACCTATTAAATTTCACAATTCGTTGTTAAGCCGTTTTGTTCATTTTATTACATTAGAGAGGTTGCATCCGAAGTTCAAACTTTAAACTTGTAAAGCAAGCAGAAGTACGCGTTTGACGTTTCAACTCCAAATAAAACACATTGCGCCTACGTCGCGCACTGATTCATGGGATATTATCGAAAAATGGCGAAAACATTTAAGAACAGGTAATGTTACCAAAGAACGTAAAAGTAACAAATTACATTATTTTTAAATATTTAAAGGACATTTAATAACACTACATAATTATTTTCAACTTTAATTAGCTACATATCTCCTACCGTACGATATAATAGTATGACAATTTGTCTGTTGTCGTGACATACTATTCTTGAGGAAAGTACTGTACTGGCTTATATAAATCCGAAAGCAGTTGGGAAATTAAAAACATAATGCTGTACATGGTAGATGTTCCGTGAAAGAAAATCCTACTTCTACAGTATTGCGATAAGCTATTCTGAACACTAATATATAAAAATTCAATAGGCACTTCATTCACATTACTTGCAAAAACATTGAATAATTTATAGATTAAAACCCTCTGTTTCTTTACAATGTCGTTCACAAATGCTTAAAAGTTCATTATTTTAATAAAATACGTCGTAAATTCAATCCAAACACAAAGAAAAAGCAAACGTTTAATCTGAACTTCTACTTGCCACGTTCAACGTTCAAAACACCATTGTCCTGAATCATTATGCTAAACATTATATTATAGTAGCTGCAAGGACCCGCTTCGCTGGGCAAGAAGTAACGATAGTGAAGATTAAGATAATTACATTATAGCCAATCTTACCCGTTTTCACAGAATGCAAGAATTAGGTCCCCCGTTTCCAAACTAATTAGAGACCTGGTCCCGATTCCATTTCTGGATGTCTCCTGTTCACGTCAAGTGGAACAAACTATTTTCAACGTTTCTGGAACGTTTACAATCGTTCTATAATCGAACTAATATTCAAATTTTATGTTCAAATTTAATTCGAACAAATTCAAACAAAACATTCGAAATAGAAAGCCACTTTCAACCACTTTCAGCCTCTTATCTCCCGCACTCTTATAGCTATCGAGACGCAACCCCTATGCACGAATGGAGACTTGGGGCTATCACCACATACAAACACCATTCACGTGCAATGTGTATTTTTGGCGAAAAAGTGAAATATAGAAACATACATGTCCATTTTTATATATATACTAGCTGCAAGGACCCACTTCGCTGGGTTTTTATTTGTGGGCAAAAAGTAACGATAGTGAAGATTAAGATAATTACATTATAGCCAATCTTACCCGTTTCACAAAATGCAAGAATTAGGTCTCCCGTTTCCAGACGTTTCCAGAGAATTTTTACATGAGCATAAAAATATGTTCGATTTCCCGCGAAAGCGCAAAAAGTCGCCTGTAAATCTTGCATGCCACTTTATATTAAAACTTCCTGGTCCCGATTCTATTTCTGAACATCTCCTGATATAGATCAGGGGTGTCCAACCTTGTTGTTTCTCTGGGTCACATTGGAAGAAGTCAAAGAGTTTTGGGCCACAAGTATATATAATATATACTTCTGGCCCAATATACAAGTATATTTAAAAACTAACATGTCTAGATTATAATAATAAGTATTAAAACTTTATCAAGAAAGGATATTTTAAAAAATTACTTCTACAGACACTTTCAAATTTTACTTAGAAATAGATAAATTCATTTATTATAAAAGAGACTAAAGAAAATTTATTTGAAAAACACAAATATTTGTTTTATTTGGGTCTCTAATTAATAAAAAGCGACGAAACACCATTTTAAAGTGCATTTTTATTCAATTAATGTAATTATAAATAATATTAGCCGAAAAAGTAGCCAAAGCGCCAAATGATATTTTTTACGTCAAGCAAAAAAT